GGGGGGGGGGACGTTTTGTAAATGTAAAAGTATAAAATGTTGAATAATATATTTCGATGAGAAAGAAGTAACAAATGTTTGCCCGGATTGAAGGTTAAATTTTTAATTTCATTAATAGTTATGTGTCTCGCGGTGAAACAAACAAACGAGTCCACTTGCGTACAAAATACGTGTACTTAGTTCCTACAGATGAAAGACATTAATTAAATATTAGAATAATTATAATATATTATAAATAATATATTAGAATAATTAAAATAATTAGAAATTAATACTTAATGCTTATAAGTTTTTTACATTTACTCTGATACTACTTTTATATTTTGCTACTACATTCTGTTGCAGATATGCTGGCAACAAAATCGGCGAAAAGTTAACCTCTTGCGCTGACAACTGGTTCACGGACCATAACGAGTGACCAAATCGTATACAATAATTCGTCGGTATATCACTGGATAGAAATTATTATTACTAAGAAGTAACAAATTTATTATTTGTCTTGCCTGGATTATATTTAAATACACTTAAAACTGAGAAAAATATTGCAATTTTGGGATAAAAAACTCTCGACGTGCGTGGCAGCGCAAAAGGTTAATTCCAGTGCGAGAAAGTAAATACAAAATCTTCGATAAGGAGCCGAATTTGGAAGGACAACAACTTCCGCGTTACGTAAAGAAACGAGACATCTCCTTTCCCGTTATATCAAATTATAGCATGAACTGTATAAATATCGCCCGTACATTTGAATGGAAAAGTCCTGGACGATTTTCTTGAGCACAGAGGGCGGTGGCCTCCGGGCGCCTAACGACAGTACTGCGCGTCAGCGAACGAAGCCTGCAGTTCCAAGTCAGTTCTCGTCTCACGATGGGACGAAGTCGTGGTTTTTCCTGGTTTTTCGTGCGGTTCACGGCGCTCGTGAAACCCATCGTCGTGTTCCTCGACGTTTCGCGGATGTGAATCCCTGGCGCGGAGATACGGCGTCCACAGGAACAGCAGGAGGATTCGAAGCGGCTTCAGTGAGTGTGACACTTGGGCGGTGTCAGGTTAGGTTTCGAGAGTAAGTCGCAGTAGCCAAGTATATAGCATATATAGGGTTCGTTGACAAGCCATTATCTCGTGAACTTTCTTCTCCTTTCCGTCTCATCGCCGTCGCGACGAGATTGGCAACTCCCTGTATAATCTGGCAAGATACTGAGGAAGAATTCTAACCTATAGAATTCTTCTATACTTCTCGCGCGAATACGGCCACTCGAACGAGATTTCGTTTGTTGAGAGATTTTTCCGTGAGATGTTCGACGTGAAAAAACTAGCTCGTGTTTTATCACAGCGGCGGAACTGTGCCGTTCCGAGTTTATCGGTTTTTCGATCTCTTATCGAAATTATGTTGTTAGGTTAGACGCGGCGGCAGTTTGTATATCGGATATTGGCAATGACGTGCAGCTTATATTGGCGTTCTTTGTCGTTTCGACAAAAGTTTGCAGGAAATAACCGTGTAATTAAAGTACTCGTCGAATCATTCCCTGTGGTCTATCCACTTTCCAAGTCGAAACACTGGTGTTACCGGTTTTTTTCCGTTCGCTGAATTGTTCTTGGCTCGTCCTTCGAATTATTCACTCGAACGCAAATATCGAGAATACTCGGACAAACAAAAATCTATACAGGCCGTGCAATAAATAAACAAGTGTCGTTGATATTATATGAATAAACAAACATTGATTTCACGCAAATACATACGTTTCGACGTATCTTTGCCTAGTGATAGAACAAACAACGATCAAGCAATAACAATTTCCAATTGATCGGCGAGTAAAATAAATTCGAATGTTAAACAAATTCTTTTATTAATTTTTTTTTTTTTCATTAATCTTTTCTCGAACGTATTTCCCGAATGTATTGAAATTATCTCTCGATAAATTAAAATTTCGGTCCATTTGCCTCTCGGTGAACTTGCGAGTTAATATTCCATTTATTTTTTGTGACAGATTTGTTGATTGAAAATTTCGCCCGAATTTATTTTCCAATAAATTTCAAAATGAATCTAGAGAGAAGAAAAGGAGAAAGGAATAAAGAGGGGCGAAATACGGCAGTTTGTTTGGCGGCGGGGAAGTTGTGTAAATTGTGTGGAGGTTTGGACAAAAGTTTCTTCCTGCATTACGGAAAAGTTTCTCGATCTTGGCACTGGACAAGGATACACCTAGATATAATCCCTCGAGTACAC